AATATAAGCATTTAGACAATAAAATTTTGCTTTTGTCAAATTTGGCGTCTTTTTCATCATGCTATGCTCTTTTTTTAGCAATCTCATGGAGGTACCTAAGTTTTATCGTCACAATCTTTGTTATAAATAATAACAAAGATTTCGAGAAAAGACCAAAGTCTTTTTGATTATTATATTATATTTTTTAGAATGTTCGTAATTTTTGTGAAAAATCTTGTTTTCTTGCGTCAGTCGGGGGAGCAAAGATTAGTATTGGAAACTTTGTCTTTTTGTGGTGAAAGACTCATTAATTTGGAAAATCTTTCAAAAATCAATTGTCGTATTTTAATGAAACTTTCAGGACTTATTCACAAATTAATTAAATTATTTTAGAAATATTTTTTTCGAAAATCTTGGTAAAAATATATTTCTTTTTACACCAGTTACCCCCCCACACACACACACACACTTATTTAATTTCAGGAAATTTTGAGAAGTTAATTTTTGTATTGCTTAATGTTATCCGTGGAATTCCTTGAAGATTTTAAATCAACAATTATTTTTTGTAAAACAGGACCCTCAATTACCAAAAATCTGCTCTGAATTGTAAAAATTGCAATAAAAATAAGACAGCTTTTAATTACTTTTATGAATAAGATATTTTATGGACATTATTATTTTAAGAAAAGTTTTTTCTGTTTTCTTTTTTTTTTTCTTTTTGATGAATAATGAATTTTTACAAGAATTGTTTTCATTTTTGTAAAATTTTAATTGTAGGAATTTATAAAGTTTTAAACCTTTTAAAATTCTGTATTAATTTGTACCAGTTAGGTGACATTGTTATTAAGTAAAACTGTTTCTGAAAGAAAGACATTTGAAGACTTTAAATTAATTGTCAAATCTTACCAATACATACAACTTACTGAATAAAAACATATATCTGGGTACATGAGGAATACTTGTAGCAACACAAAAAGAGACCATAAGGATAATCCTCAAGTGAGTCTCATTAGGCTTTTAGAATAAGTTATAACTTTCATGAATTCTCTTTTTTATGATTTTCTTTTGAGGAACAATGATTTGTCAAATAATACTATCATACCCTCAACGTACATAAAAGCCATCATGCACCCTAGGAGAAAATTTCTCTGTTATAATAATCATAATTTTACAACAGTATTTGAAATTTTCACAATCATAGTAAGTGGTGGGAACCAACCATCTTTATAAATCCCTACTAATCATAAATGGAATAGCTTACTACAATTTCTTGACCCCCAAGAATTTTTTTTTTTGTATGTCTATAAATGTGCCAATTTTTGTAAATACAGCTATCTATACATGACATTATCAAAAAATTATATACAGCTTTCAGCTTCATTTTTTGTAAAAGTCTTTTTTTTCAGAGGGAATGAATTTAGAAAGAATATGTTCCCTTCTTGTTATGTTTTGAACATAAATATTTGAAACCTAGAATTAGTGGTAATCAAATGGGGCAAGATCTAGAGAATAAGAAATGTATGGAATATGTAAATGTGTTCAGCTATTTTAGATATTATGTATGATCATAAATTAGTACCAGACTTCAATAATGATTATGAGGAAAGCTAACACTTATTATTTATAATAACTTGTGATCCTGGTGTCAGTCTGAAAACTTAGCAAAAATTTAAAAGAGGCAATTCTTTTTTTAAGATTAATTTCTATCATGTGTGGTGCTCACAAATTTAATCAACTTGAAATAAAAAGAAATATGCACTGTTTACTTGGACCATTCAAACATTAAAATGTAATACAGGGGGCTGCTGAAAGACTGAATTATATAAAACAAGAATAACTTTTACAAACGCATTTTTTTTTTTAATTTTTTGTTATTTTATTTGGATGGAAACATTTTTAAACCCACTTTTTCAGAATCTTCTGAAGTGATATTCTGGTGATGCCTAGTTGAGCAAAGCAACAACAGGTAAAAGATGATGGATTCTCAAGGACACTCTGCTGTACAACATCTACCACTGCATCAGTTTGCTTAGGACCTCTTCCCGGAAGATTGCCAACTGATCCAGTTCTTTCAAACCGCTGATTAGGTTCCAAATCATGTTATTGCTAGGAGATACTCTAACATTAAAATGTTGCCGGTATTTTCTCTGAGTTTGAATAATGGATCTTTCATTGGAATAGAAAAACTCAATGAGTTTTACTTGTTGCTGGACATCATACATAGCCATTTTAATCTTCAAACAATGCTGCGAGAAAAAAAAAATAAATGAATAAAAAAGGTTGAAAACAAAGAAGTTATGACTTTTTCAAATCTTTAGTTTTTCAGTTGCCACCCTGTAGATGCCTGATTTGCCTTAATGTGTTTTTCATTATATTTTAAAAATAAAGGTATATTTTTTTAACTTTCAGGTATTCTTATAGGTAATGTCTGAATTTAGGTTCAGGAAATATGTCACTTACTCATATTTAATTATTACTTGTTAAAATTGGTTCCATTATTATCAGTAACCTCTTCAATGATTCACCGACTTTATAATATTGATTATATAAATCTTTTGAAAGACTGTAAAAATAATGGGTTCTCTTCTAGTCATACTTTAAACATGAATATTTGAAAATGGTGCTATAAACTATAGAATTGGTGGTAGTCAAATGGAGCAAAAATTAAACGATCAAAAGAGTGTTGAATGTTTTCCTAGCTAAAGTCTTCAGATAGATTTTAGCGGTCAATCTACTCATAAGAGACTTTCATTTTGAATAAGAACATGATAAAAACAGTAATGAAATCTGTTATATAATTGAATTATAACTATTGATCTCTCATGACAATCTGAAAACTTAACAAAGTTGGCAAACTGTATACAAAATACAAAAATTGACATTTTTATCATAAAAAGTAAAAATATCTATTCAATATAACTAAACAAAATATTTTATACATTCTCAATCCAGACCTGCTCAAAATATGGCTTACTTGTTGCCTGTGTTCTGTGAGACTATCCTGTGTAGATCATGAGGTGCTTTCAAAATAGTGAACTTCATTAACTGATGATGTATGAAAAGTATGACTTTATTCAATGAATATTTAGCTTTTTGTATCAAGTTAATCCTTTTATCTCTCTATCAAATGGAACAAGATCTAGATAAGAAAGGTACCTGCCAATTTGAGATAATCTTTTAGATTGAGAACAGAATATAAAATATTTGAATATTCAAAAGATGAATGCATGTGAATTTGAGTTTTATAACAGATGAATTCATAAAATCTACAGTAAAAAACATTTTTAAATGTTTATATTCTACATTTCCAAAAAGACACTAAAAATGTACTTTTTTCTTATACAGATTACATTTCCATGAGAAGTGATCCCCATCAAAATATTGACATGGAAGCGCATCCTGAAAACAATTCATATACCTGTCAAGAAGAAGGATTGGATTCTTCAAAGAGTTTACACTTAAAAACTCAGACATGGACACACACTAGGGAAAAACCATATTCATGTGAAGTGTGTGAATCAACATTTTCAAAAAGATCAAGTTTAAAAACTCATATGAGGACTCATACTGGAGAGAAACCATATTCATGTGAAATATGTCATTCAGCATTTTCACAGAGTGCACATTTAAAAAGACATATGCGAATACATACTGGAGAGAAACCATACTCATGTGAAGTATGTGGTTCAGCCTTTTCACACAGCACACATTTAAAAACACACATGCGAATACATACTGGAGAGAAACCATATTCATGTGAAGTATGTGGTTCAGCATTTTCACAGATTTCAGGATTAAAACATCACATGTGGACACATAGTGATAAAAAACCATATTCATGTGAAGTGTGTGGCTCAACATTTACAGAGAGTTCAAGGTTAAAAACTCATATGAGGACTCATACTGGAGAAAAACCATATTCATGTGAAGTATGTGGTTCAGCATTTTCACGGAACACACATTTAAAAAGACATATGCGAATACATACTGGGGAGAAACCATATTCATGTGAAATATGTGGTTCAGCATTTTCATGCAGTTCCAAATTAAAAATTCATGTGAGAAAACATACTGATGAAAAACCATATTCATGTGAAGTGTGTAGCTTAACTTTTTCAGAGAGTTCAAGGTTAAAAAGTCACATACGAACACATACTGGTGAGAAACCCTATCCATGTGAAGTATGTAGTTCAGCATTCTCTGAGAGCTCAGATTTAAAAAGACATATGCGAATACATACTGGAGAGAAACCATATTCATGTGAAATATGTAGTTCAGCATTTTCACGTAGCTCAAATTTAAAAGCTCACATGCTAACACATACTGGAGAGAAACCATATTCATGTGAAGTATGTAATTCAGCATTTTCACAAAGAGCAAGTTTAAGGAATCACATGCGGACACATACTGGTGAAAAACCATATTCATGTGAAATATGTGGTGCATCATTTTCATGGAGCATGTATTTAAAAAGACACATGCGAACACATACTGGGGAGAAACCATATTCATGTGAAGTGTGTGGTTCAGCATTTTCTGAGAGCTCGTGTTTAAAAAAGCATATGCAAGTACATACTTGAAAAAACCCTATTTATGTGAAGTATGCGGGGTTAGTATTTTCACAAAATACATATTTAAACACACATATTTAAATATGTAATAGGGAGAAAGCAAATTCATGTGAAGTGTGTAATTCAGAATTTACAAATTCATCACCCTTAAAAAACATGCAAACTCATGCTAGTAATCTGATATGTAGAATTACACCAGATAAAACTATTCATGTGAAAAGTGTGATTCAGCACTTTTATAGTGATTACATTTAAAGGCACTATTACAAATATATTCTGATGAAAAATCATATGTGAATGTGGCACAATATTTAGTGTGTTTATTTCATACACAATTTTTCTGAAGTGAGGTACTGTCAAATTTTCATATTCTCTTGTTAGAAGCTATATTTTTGTGAGGTATATAATTGATTTGTTTAGCCTTTTCACTATAGTTTTATTTGGGCTTAAGGCTATATCACATTGAAACACTGGTCCCTGTACAATCACTGAAGTTAAGCAACTTTGATCCTGGTCAGTACCTAGATAGGTGACCACTTGAGAATACCAGGTGCCGTAAGCTTGGATGTGTGGATGCTGTAGATGGGTAATGGCTCAGAATTATTAATTAGAGAGCCAAGTTTCGGTTGGGTTCGTTATATTCACTTGTATACAAATACTCTTGGGAAAGGTATGAATCCATCTCTTCTCCCCCCCCACATGGTTAATTAATTAGTAAGACTGGTATCATTAAAACCATTATTATCTCCAAAAATAAAATTAAAAAAATTGTGTACAAAATATTTAGATTTTAGCATTAAATAACCCATGGAGGTTGATATGCCACTAAACAAAGCAGTTTTATTTTAAAAAAAAAAAAACACACTACTGAGATGTTACAACTCCTGGCCCAAATTATGGAATGTTCACTTAAGTTTTTTATTTAGAAGGAAATAAACATATAAGAAATAAGATACAAAACATGTAATAGCTGAATATTTTGCCTTCATAAAATAAACTTTATAATCATTTAGTATTCAATGCAATCAAACCAAATTACCAGCTCCCAAAGTCTCACTGGTTGTGTTCAAAATCTCACTGCATAACTTTCTACATTATTTGCGATGATGCCATCATATATTATGGCAGAGTATACATGGGGAAAGTTATGGCAAGTTGAACATTCTTTTTTTTTTCAAACTATGCAAAAGAAAATATTTAATACTTGAGGCAATTTATGGAATTATATAGCTATTTGCATTCCTAAAACAAATACCAGCAGATACATAGATATGAAAATTTATTTATAGCTAGAAGACAGTTCTTGTGGATCCCGACAAGTGTTTAGGCATAGCAAATTGAAAGAAAACATGGCTCTAACAAAAGAAAAGTTAATTGAAACCACAGGATTATAAAACTTGTTCATGAAGGTAATCTCCACTGGAGTATGGCAAAAGAAATTGGTTATTCCCAGCTAGCTGTGTCAAACATTTGGTGCAAATATAAAAGAAATGGGTGGGTTAAAAAAGGGAAATTTATTGATAAACCATGAAAGACATTAAATCATCAGGATTTGATCATTGGAAAAATATAAGATGTGCACCAAAAAACATGGGTCACGACAGAACTACAAGAAATAAGCTGAATGAAATGGAATTTACATAAAACCCAAATAAAAAACAATGCCCAGAAGAAAATGAGGTTACAGACAATTGGATAAAAGTTATATTCAGTGATAAATCAGCATTGGCCAAGGCGATGATCTTGGAACTCTTGTCTGGCACCTTTCAAATAAAACAAGATGACTGCCTGAATAAAACAAGTTAATTATCCAACACATGATGTATAGTTGCATATTGTTTAAAGGTCCAGGGGGAGCTTGCTTCAATCAATGCACATGGATGTATTAAAATCCTGGATAATTTTCTAATTATTTTGACAGAAGGTACAGTAGAGTAATGGATCGCAGCTCGGATTGAGGAATCGGAGAGCTGATTTTAAATTCTAGTTGCGTTCATTACATTTCTTTAAGTGTTAATACCCTTGAGAAAGGTATGAATCCAATGTGTAAATAATAGTACAGACTGGGTTCTATAGCCTTGGGTGGCAGCTGGTCTGAGAAAAGGAAAATTCTGAATTCAAAACTATTTAGCCCTGGCAAAACACATACTAAAGTAAAGGATCGTTTGCATTATCTCTATGATCCCGACTATAGTCGATTCCTTTTATTGACAGAAAATTGGTTTGATGATAATTAAGTAGTTTTTCAGGACAATAATACATACTGTAAGTATTAATTCTTTTTTATGCTTTTGTTTTGAATATTAAAATAAATTAATCGTAATATCAATGCAATTTTATAAGAAATAGTTACTTTAATCTTTACTTGATTCAGCTATGTGAAAAATATTTCAAAATTTTATCTAAAAAGCATTAAAAGAGGTATTTTATAATATGGTTGGTTTGCATCAGTCAGTACAAATTAAAGATCAGTTTGGCCAGGTGCATTGATGTTGTATTAACAGCTGAGTGACAGCAATAAAAATTCGCGTCTGAATTTACCTCGAGGCTGAATTGTTTCTGTTTGTAAGTATGGTGGCCTGTAATTAAAACCAATACTTTATTTTTTGTAAACTAATTACTTTTCTTTAATTTTTTTTTTTTTTGTTGATCTTCAAGATTTTTTAAAAATAGAACAAGCATCATTTTTTTTAAAAATTAATCCTGTAACACATTCAGTCACATGATATATTATGAAGAATGTAAGAAAAACTCAAATTTACTATTTTTTTAGTCTGAAGTAATAAATATTTTTGCTTAAAATAATTATGGTATTTAAAGAAATAAACTTTTTAATGTGAAAAATTTGAGAAGCAAACTATTTTCAAAATGAAAAAATCTTATAGACAAATGCAAAATATGTAAACAGTTTGCATGTAAACGAGAAATTAATGCACTATCTACAATATTAATTTAATCTAAAAGATAAATATTTAATTAATCTAATTCTAGGTTATATTTTTAAATTATGTAATCCTCATCCTCTTCGCCTATAAAATAAAGCATTTTATAATTATTATTAACAAAATTAACATCTTATAATTATTAGTAAAAACATTTGTCTCATAATCTGCACATTGCAATTACCTAAAATGTCCCTAACTACAATATTAACTTGTAACATTGTAGTCAGTTTCTTCTTGCTTGTAATAAAGTTCTCTAATTCATTTCTTTCATCAATGTAGTGTAAGTCAAACAATTCAACACAATTTGCCATCAGAGTCGCATTGCTCTGTTGCCTTGTTAAGCACTTTTTATCGATAGGTCAAATTTTCACTAGTGGAAAAAAGAGTTTTGCAAAAATATCTAGCTCTGAGATCTACCTTTTCTTAAATATATGACTTCTAAAGCCACCATTTTTTTTTTGGTGGGGGGGTTACATATGGAACACATCCAAATCTGTTTTCTTCCAGGAGGTAAGCCATTTTCTCTTGTGTTACAAATATATTGGTTAATTTTTCTCAATAAAAATTCTTTTGAAAGTTGTTATAACCTAGAAAGGTTAATGAATGAAGAATAACCTAAACGGAGGTTGAAAATGAAATGGCAATCTTTATAACATCAACAAAATACAATACTCGCCAGCAACGTGAAGTAGGTAAACCACTGCTAGTGGTGGACTACTTAGTATATTACCCCCCCACTCCCCCCACTTACAGTAGTGTCCAACGTATTTATGAAGATTGGGACATACCCATTATTGTTCATAGGTACGGTATATAACAAAAGTAAATATACGAGATATGCATTTCTTTGTTTTTTTAATCAGTACATCTTAGCTACAGCATATCTAGTGTGAGAACGATGACAACTGAGACACAGAAATGATTACAAGTCTGTACACCTGGACTTAATTATAACATCAAATCAACAGTTGTGCAATTTTTTTTTTTTTTAAATTCTTTTAAGAAAGTTCGAGACAATATTTTCCCAACATCTTTGTATAGTTATTTATTAAAGGACAGTGAAAGAACAAATAAATACTTTTAAACATATAAAATTATTAAATCAATATTATGGAAAATTACAAAAAAATCTCTAAAAATCGAAATGACCCCCCCTCCCCCCCAAAAAACCCTAGGATTATTTTTTGTTTTTTCTTATATACAATAACCCCACAATATTAATTATAAAATAAAATAAGAATCTTCGAAAAGGGTCATATTTTTATTTTTAATTTCAGACCATAGCATCTCTGTTGATTTTTCTTCTGTATTTTCATTTTTCAAAGACTTTAAAAGTGTAAACCTCAAAATGATCTGCCTTGATGCGCATTTAAAAAAAAAAAAAAAAAGTTTTTTTGCAGGCAAAAACATCCAAGATTGTTAAAAATTCAACTCAGAAAGTTTTAATTTACTTAAAATTCTATTATTTCTTATTTTTACTGTTTTTACTGAATTTCCTCAAAGAAGAAAAATCTAACAAAAAAAAAAAAAATGAAGGAATAACATATAAAGTTTTTCATTTGATTATGAATTTGCTGAAAAAAACTCATTTTGCATTCTTTGTAAATAAGGAAAAGACAGTTCTCATAATCTTTAAATATTTCATCCTCAATATAAAAAAATCTAAAAGTGGGAAATTCCTTTGTGAAAACAAACAATGATTTTGAAATGTTTTTAATTCATATAATAGTAATTGTTATTTTCATTTTCTAAATGAATTGTTTTTAATTTTTGACATTTTATGTTGACTTTCTCAGTTTTATTAGTGAAGGTTGTTTAATAAAAATTACAGCAATTTTTGAAAAGTATTTTTAAAAAAATGATAATTGCGCAATTCACTCAATCCTATATTAAAAATACTCTAAACTTTAAAGAAGATAGATTACAAAACAGTTATTAATTTTTATTTTATTTCTCTTTGCTGAATGGGGCAAGATATAGAGAATAAGAAGTGTGTAGAAGTAGAAGTCTGCTTCTCGCTCCCCAGCCAGTGTACCTGAGGGTGTATGCTTGTAGGACTGGTTGGTTGATAGGCATACGTGCGAGGTGTCTAAACCACTTGATCCTCTGTCATTCAATGTGTTGCATAATTGGTATTGCTCCTACCATTTCTCTTATTGCCTCATTCCTGATCTTGTCTCACCTGGTCTTGTTCACTGCTTTCCTCAGGCATTTCATCTCACAAGTGATCAGTTTTCTCTCAAGAGGTTTTGTTAGGGGCCATGTCTGGCACTAGTATGTCAGCGTTGGTAGGAAAATGGCATTGATGAGATTTGCCTTGGTGCTCATGGAAATGTTAGGATGTTTTAGAAGAGGAGCAAGTTGGTAACTGTGTTGGCTTTCTGTCATTTGGTCTTAATCTCTCTGTCTAGTTTGCGATTTTCAGTAAATATGCTGCCCAGATATTTGAATTTACTGGTTTTAGCTGGGTCCTATTGATGTTAATGTCCAGTTTTTCTGGTATTTTGCTGATGGTCATGACCTCGGTCTTACTGTTATAGTGGAACACACCTATTCTATAGTTAATAGACTCTCCCACCTATAATAAGTAGGAGTAGTAAGAGTAACGAGTCAGT